ATTAAGAGAATTTCTAAATTTGAAAATATTTAAAAATATTTTTGTGCAAAATATTAACTAATTCGTGTTTTATATATATAAACTCATATTATTTGACTAAAATTTACTTATAATATATTTTAAAATAATTATTATAAAATCAATAAACTTATTATAAAATAGGAAAAAAGATAAACATTTTGTCTCTATATTTTTTTTAAAATAAAAATAAAATATAAGAGGGACAATGTAAGTTAAATAAAAAAGAGAGCGTGCTTACATAAAATGTTAGTCGTTGGGTTAGTATAATTTAAAAGAGAGTAATAAATAATATAAGGAACATATTTCTTTTTACAACAATTTAAGGACATTTAAAAATTAAAATTATTTAATAAAATAGACTAAATTATGATTTTAGTATTTATTTTATTTTTTAAATTTATTTTAATTATTTATCTTTTAAAATATTTATTTTAATTTTATATTATTTCTTAATTATTTGTGAAATATATTTTTCACATAATTTTTACTATGTTTATTACTCTTTTGAATTCAAGCATTAATTAAACTTCATAATTTTTATGTAGATAAATAATGATAAAATTTTAAATTTTAAATCAGTTAATAAAAGCTTTAAAATAATCTTTCAAAATTGAAAATAATAATTATTTCAAAAGAACCAAACAAATATGAATTTAAAAGATAAATGATCTAAGTGAACGTTTTAGAAATTTAAGAAATAAAATGAATTTAAAAACAAAATAAAAAATAAAAAATAAAATTTAATCAATAACATATACATTAAATACAAGTATTTTCTTTATTATTCCCCGATTAAGATAAATGGTTAATTGTGATTTAATAGTAATCTAAGTTTTTTCTACTAACATTTTAATTAATATCTCTATATTTTCTTAAAAATCATAAAATTTATTAATGAGATAAAAAATTGTAACAATTATAAAAGAATTAGGGCATATTTAATTTATATTTCTCACTTTAATAACATAAGAAATACAAATTATGTTTATAAAATTATATTGTGTGATAAATTTTTTTAGATGTACGATGAATATTAAAAGTTAGTCAACAGTGATAAAAGTTGCATACACTTAATTTTTTATAAATTTTTAAAATAATTTAAAAAAAAAAAAGAGTTGCTCTAAACATGCTATTAGTAACTTTATTTATTTTTTTTAAAATAAGTAACCAGTAATAATTGTGATTGAGTGTGCAACAGTTATGATCTTACAGCGGAATTGTTGCGATTTAACCGATAACCTTTTGTTTTTTTGTAAAACAAAATTAATATTACGTGTAAAAAAAACAAATAATAAAAAAAAAACAGCGAGGAGAGGAAACAGGAAAGTTGTATTTGTAAATTCAGGGTCTGCACGCAAGGGAGACGTAAAACCTCGGGGGAACTCAGTAGCGATAACACGCCATTGAAGCTCCAATTCGAATTCTGTCACATACCCTTTTCGCCTCTCATATCAAAGTTTCGTTCTTTTGGCCCCAAATTGAAATATTCAGCTCAAAATTTAATCTTTGGCTGATAATATAGCTAGATATTATCTGCACATGCGTGCCCTATTTTAGTGTGCCAATGGAGGGCAAAAACTTGGATTCTCAGAATCAGGTGCAAGTTGTAGAAAATTTATCTCCTAGGGTTTCTAGTTTCTCCCTTGGCGACCAGTTATCCAATTGCGATTCTCCTCTGGTAAGTTTTCTCCTTCTCTAACTTGATATGCATGTGTTTTTGTTTGGAGGATTGTAAATTTCTCCACTTTTTTGGATTTTTGTGTTGCTTGTGTATGTTCGGAATTTGACCTTGAATATCTTTTCTCTTTTTTTTTTTTTTTTGGGTGATTTGATGTGCTTATGTCGCATTTAAAGAAGAAACCTAAAGAGAAAGAGGAATTAGGAAACTATTCATGTATCATTTGCAAACATAAAATTTTAATGGAATTGTTTGGATAAACTTCTCGAAAAGTCCTTATAGGAGAAGAAAATATGAAGGAAAAAAAAAAGAAGAAATAAGCTCTCCATAAGCTGCAAATAGCTTATATATAAGCCAATTTGTAGAAGCTCTTCTATTAACTTCTCCAAAAACTTATTCTCAATTTATGCATAAGCTAATTTTAGTTTATGGAGAAGCGTATTTCATTTTTCCTTCTACGATAAGTTCTTTTCAGATTGGGTGTGGTTTGGTGCTCTTTGGTTTATATGGTTGATTTGTGGTGTTTGATGTCATTGACAGGCTTATGAGGTGGATGGTAATATGACGAATCGTGTTCATAAAGAGTATTGTGATTCTTTTTTCACTGATAGCGCTGAAGGGAATTGTATAAATTCTTCAAGATTATATCCTGAATTACCTCAAAAACAATTGGAAAAACATGACGAGGACATGGAGTCTTCAGCTGATCTGCAGAAGCGGGGAAGGTACTTCTATTATGATAGTCCACTAGATGAAGATACTGGAGTTTGGATACCAGTTTCAGTTCCACCAATGTTGGAAGATGATCACAAAGAGTGGGCCAAAGGTTTTCACTCTAATGGTGGCTATTTTCCTGATGATGACATGGGATGGAATCTATATGTTGGAGATGAAAAAGAGTTGACTATGTGGGATGTGCTAGTAGAAATGTTACTTGTAGCTCGGGGAAAAGTGACTTCTTTGGCATCAGGAGATATTCATACATGTAAGTTTTCATGGATATCCAGCCATGTACTTGAACAAGCTTGGAGAGAGATGGCACAAACTCTTACGGATGCCAACTTTGGTAATGTGAAGGAACTACTGGAAGCAGAGCCTCCAAAATGGTTAGCAGATAGTGCTGCTTCTTCTTGTATGCTTTGTGGTGTGAGATTTCATCCCATTATGTGCTCCCGGCATCACTGCCGGTTTTGTGGAGGAATATTTTGTGGTGCATGTTCCAAAGGGCGGAGCCTGTTGCCATCAAAATTCCGAGTTTCTGATCCCCAAAGAGTTTGCGATGTATGCTGTGTCCGACTTGAATCTGTGCAACCTTATTTGATGGATCATGTAAGCAATGCTGCTCAGTTGCCAACTCATGACCTGACAGATCTGAGCACTTTGAGATCATGGGTTAATTTTCCCTGGGGGCAGTCTATGGAATATGAAATTTACAAGGCAACTAACACTATCAAGGCATATAATCAGGTATGGTTTCCAATTGCTGTAGCAGAAACCATGTATGAGTTGTGCTAATAATTATTTGCTTTAGATCTATAAAGAACTTTCTCCAATGCTGATTTGAACTAGAAAATTCATTAAGAAAAATCCAATTAGTTTGTTGAGGATTCTTAGCTTTTTGTAAAGTGTGTTGTTCTAAACACCATGGTGAAAAATTGGGTTTTATTTATTTATTTATTAGGGACTGGTCTAGTGATATAGATGAAATGTTAATCTAGTATAACATGTCTGGAATCGCTATGTAATTACTTCATAAGAATAAAAGATTCAGGAGCCATAGTGGTGGCTGGTCTCCCTGGCTCCAAACTGCATGACTTATCCCCCCCTATTTTTTTTTTTGTTAATCTGATTGTGCTTCAGCATGCTTGTTAGTCTAGGTATCTGTATATTTCTTAATGTTGACATCACTTTGTAAATTTCAGGATATTACTCATGTTTAAAATTTTGGGGTGATCATAGGTTAGGTCGACCTGACCAGCCCGAGTTAAAATACCAAGTTGGTTGGATTGAAATATGGAGTTGTTTTGAAAATGGATGGTCCGGAAACAATTGGGTCAGATATTGGGTTTGGAAAATTTACCCCTGACTAGATTGCCATTGGGTTGGGTCAAGTTGATACTTGCAAATTGAACACATCCAACCTGATCATTCCCAAACCCCAACAGCAACAGGACGTCAGGACCTAACTTGTGTTCACCCCTAGTCAACATATCTATTATGGAATTCTATTTTGTATATTTCATGTGCTAAAATAGTTTTACTTCATCTAGAATTTAACTATTGCAGATAGGTTTTCTAAAGCCTGAGAAGTCAATTCCAGATGTCATTCTAAGACAAGCAAAAGGCCTTGCAATTATCACTGTGGCCAAAGTAGGAGTGATGGTCACTTATAATATTGGAACAGGGCTTGTGGTTGCACGTAGGGAAGATGGTTCATGGTCTCCTCCGTCTGCCGTTTCCACATTTGGTGTCGGATGGGGGGCTCAGGTGAAGTAACTAATATGTAACAATATTTACCAAACAGTGTACTTACTAATGACTTTGCTTATGAATGAATATGGATCCATTGCCAATAATCTATCATGATATGCTGCACATACTGCTTCTGATAAGCTCTAATATCAGAACATTTCATTTTGTTGGACTCTAGTCTCTAGTGAAATTAAACTTATAGAACTATTTTTGATATATAATATATTACACGAGCTAAATTTCCATGCATATGTTTATTTTAATATTATTCTGTTTACTCCTCAACTGTACTGAGCACTGATTCCAATTTCCTACTCCTTGTATATGTGGTCCATCTCAAGGTTTTATTGATACTTATTTATTTCTATATCTTCTGAAGTTTTGACTTATTTTTTTAACAACACAGGCTGGAGGAGAGTTAACAGACTTCATTATCGTTTTGAGAACAAACGATGCTGTCAAGACATTTAGTGGCAATATGCATCTATCACTTGGAGCTGGTTTGAGTGCTGCAATAGGGGTTATTGGTAGGTCAGCTGAAGCTGATGTTCGAGCTGGTGATGGTGGCTATGCTGCTTGTTATACCTACAGCTGCAGTAAAGGTATGTTTCTTATTTGTGATCGATCAACTAGTATAATAAAACCCTTGGTTTTGTACAGTATGCAACTTGATCTTTTATTTTTATTATTCAATTTAAATATTTGTTAGTCTTAGTTGTTCAACTTCAATGCACTCCCTAGCATGGTTGTTAAGATCGCAATTTAGATTGTGTAATCACACGATCTTACACGTTGAGTGCCCTTCCGTCCTAACTTGTGCCATGATCGTCTCCTTGTGCCATGATCGTGACAGAGTGGGTTCATGATCTTCCATGCTTATTTGTGGGATTGATGATTCCCTGTGAGTCAGAACAAACAGAAAAGTAGAGCAGTAGGGGGCACTCAAAGTGGAGTGCCTGGCTGTCATGACCATTGTGCCACCATTTGCAGTGCATGTCACTGTGTTTTGTCGGATTCATGGCAGCTCCGTACTTGCACCATCATCGGATACGTCAATGAATTGCACTGTTGCCGGACAGCCTCTGTCCCCTTGGTCTTGCTGCCACTGACCTCCCATTACCCCTTCCTTTGTTCTCTGTCGTTGGGAATTAGGGATGCACTTTCACAATAGCAGCAGCACTTGGTACTTAGTAGAGAAGGAGGATCTGATGGGTCCTAGACTCCTAGGATTTGAAGGGAATTTGGCCCAAACATTTTTATCTGTTTCCTCTTTTTCTGGTTTCAATAGTTGGGCCTCAATTTGAGCTCAATTTTTTTATGTTACTCTTTTATGCGAACATAACATATAATATAATAAACTTTAGAAGATCAGTGATAAAAAAATATAATAGTATTAAAAATATAAAATTTCTTAAAGCATAACATATAATATAATAAACTAAATATTAATAATAATAAACTATAAAAGCATAATAAATGATATAATAAATTAAAGAATAATAATATGTATTATATATAATGGCAAGGGAACGTAAGATCTCACAATCCAAGTTACGAGATGTCATCCCCCTCTCCATCCTAGATTTTGCTCTCCAGCCTCTTCCTATTAGATCATGACTTTTTGTTTTCATCAACTTCCAATGAACATATATATTTGAACTAGAATGGCTGTAAACTATTGCAATGCAGTTTGTGCAAAATTTTAGTAACAGAAGGTGCTATTGTATTGGTTTGTAGATAAAATTCACCAGTGGATATATGTGCTGGTAATGTTCCACTCTTAAGTGAGCACAGTTTGATAGAAGGTTTGCTTGAGGGTGGAAGAGGGGAGAGAAAAGCCTTATCCGAGACTATCTATGACCGCCAAATGCTATTTGGCATCGATATTGACGTGGCTCAACTTTTTAATTAATTGCTTGCTATAGAGATTATGATAGCAAATCAGCAAGGAATCCTCCCTTCTGTTTTTCCTTTTATCTTTCCTCTTCATACAGTCTTCAGGTTTTTGTTACTACATGATGGTTACACTGAAACTGTTACTTCAGCCCATAGTAGTCAATAGCGGCCGGAGCGGCCGCTATCGCGGCGCTCCGTAGCGGAGCGGCCTCACCCCGCAATCTGGCTGCT